GGTTGAGTAGGGTGTTGAATTTTTAGATCCAATATTCTAAGAACATATGAGATAGGAAAAGTCAAGAGAGAAACAACAATATGAAATTGTTAGCAAGCTGTCAATGCAAAGGAGCCTCAGGTATTGCTCCACACCTACCTCCGCGCCCACGGTTTCCATGTCTTCTAACGTCAATCCATTACATCTTTTGTGTTAGTGTTATTTGTCAATCGCTCAAAATTCTCTGGACTAATGCGGCTAAATCTACATCTCTTACATGTGTAGGCACGGGTTCCAAATAACTTTCTAGACATAATTTTTTTTTATTTTAATAAACTGTAAGAGTTTTAAACTTTTGGCAACGTTTATATATTTTGATTCTAAAAATAACTCTCTATACTAAAGAGAATTTGAATCCGGGACCAAAACAAAAAAAAACAAACTCCTTTGTATTGCCACTTCATTTGGTATTTTTTTAGTTTTACTTCTTATTTGTTTTAAGTGCAATGTTGTTCAACAGTTCATAATAGTATATTAAACTTCGTAATTGTTTAACTATTCTAATTGCACATAATGAATATCAAACTAAAAATATAACTATATTTAAATTATCAAGAACAAACATTTGCTTGATTTTATATATCGACGCATAGTGATATAATTCGACCAAAAGTACTCAATTCAAATAGTCATATAGAGTATGAATGCCTTCTTGATTATCTCCATACCGTTTCTCAAATGCCACAAACTTCCTGTATAAATAATCAGTTCTTCCTTTAGGAATATGATTAAGAGCTGATGAAATGACTTTTGTCCGGTTTATGAGTCAAACCTAGAATCACTAATTCGATGCAGAATAGTTAGGTTCGTTCAAAGGGACCATCAATACACTCTAATCCTATGGGATACAAATTCAGCTAAGTGATCAAAGTGGTTTAAGTTGTCACGATTAATCAAGTAATTAAAGTAAATTCGGTGTAAACAAATGATATTAAAAGCNTTAGGTCAANNGAAAGTATCTCANGGATTAGATCATCTAGAACCAAGCAATTATTCAGGTTATCAATTACGAACCAGTCTAGAACTCGACCATAAAATTAAGAGGATCCACTGTCGTGGCATCAACTACTTCATCAATCAAGCTAACACCCTAAACTGTCGTTTGAGATTACAAAGAAGTATGAGTATTAAAGAGGATAGGATCGATTTGTTCACGACTCGCCTTAACTTCAACTGTCGTTGGCTAAGGACGAATCGCCCATCTATGTTAATTCAAGCAATTCACAACACTTTTGATGAGTAAATTAAACCTAAAATCAAAGGGTAGGTGATCAAGCTAGTCTAGGCATTACGACCAACAATAGATGAAGATATCAAATATGTTTCAAAATCTATCTATGCTTAGTTCGAG